GCAGTCATGAGTGAAAGAAGAAAACGCCCCTCTGGGGCAGCATTCAAAAAAAGAAAGAAAGCAAAGGAAGCTTTTCTATCTAAGCAGGAAGGAGCTCTCCTGAGATACATAGACACAAATGTTCACGGTGAGCCTTCCGGCCCCAGTGAGGATGTGAGTGATGAGAAGATGCCTGATCTTCCAGTTAGTCAGAGTGCAGGTGACCTGGCAGCTACTGCAGCATCCATATCTCCATCTCAAATGGATGTAACCAGGCACATTCCTGAAGAAAATTGTAGATCAGAGAAGAGTGTGGTGGAGGCGCAAGAAACAGCTGCTGCTGAGGTTAGTTCCTTAAGTCTAGATGCTCCAGGACTGTGGACCCACTTGAGCAGTAGCCTGAGGGACTTCCTTGTACTGCATGGGCCACAGCAAGTGAAAAACTTCATGTTCCCCAAAGACAATGAAAATAGCAGTTTCCATCCAACACATTACTGGTGTGAAATCCCCAATGGTGACAAAGTGGAGAGGCCATGGCTTATGTACTCAAAAATCCAGAATGCTGCATACTGTTTTTGTTGCAAACTCTTCCAGTCTAATGTTCCAGCCACATTGGGTTCTACAGGAACAAAGGACTGGAAAAAAATCTGGCTAGAAATCTGGCATGCCATGAGAAGGCAGCAAATCACCAGAGAGCATTCCATAGGAGGAAAGAGCTTGAGATGAGACTAAGGTTAAAGGCCACCATAGATGATCAGCATCAAGAAAAGATTGCATCAGAGTCTCTTTAGTGGCAAAATGTTCTGAAAAGGCTCATTGCCATTGTGCAAATGCTTGCCACCCAAAACCTAGCATTGCGTGGCATGGCACTTCAGATCAGCTGTATGTGCCAAACAATGGAAACTTCCTTAAAATTGTGGAGCTAATGGCTGAGTTTGATGCTGTATTCCAGGAGCATCTAAGAAGAGTCACCACCAAAGAAATGTGTACCCCACTACCTTGGAAAAACAATTCAAAATGAGATCATGCAGTTACTGGCAACTAAAGTCAAACAGAAGTTTGTGGCAGATCTGAAGTCAGCAAGATATTAGTCTGTTATTCTGGACTGCACGCCTGACATCAGCCATACGGAACAAATTACTTTAATGGTGCGTTTTGTAACAACAACAGAACCTAGTGAAAATGTCCCTGCAGTGGTGACTGTCAGAGAGCATTTTCTAGAATTTATTGACATTGATGATACTACAGGAGCTGGTATGACAAATGTGCTTCTTAAAAAGCTGGAAGATACGGGAATTGCGATAGCTGACATGAGAGGTCAGGGCTACAATAATGGTGCCAACATGAGAGGAAAGAATAGAGGAGTGCAGACACGGATCTGAGAGTTAAACCCTCAAGCTTTTTTCGTCCTATGCAGTTTTCATTCATTGAACTTGGTGGTCAGTGATGCAGCATCAGCTTTTAGAGAGGCTGCTGAATTTTTTAATGTAATTCAAAGCATCTATGTATTTTTCTCTGCATCAGCTCATTGATGGTAAATTTTGAAGCAACATCTGGGAACATCTGCTCTGACACTGAAACCACTGAGTACCACACGATGGGACAGTCAAGTCGAGGCGATAAAGCCTATCAAACACCAAATTGGGAAGATAGATGATGCCATATTTGCCATTATGGAGGATAATGCTAGGACAGGAACTGTTCATGGGAGAACAGTGGCAGAGGGAAATGGAATCACCAGAAACATACATAACTTCAAATTTCTGTGTGGCTTAGTGTTGTGGCATGACATACTGTTTGAAATAAATGTTGTAAGCAAGAGACTCCAAGGTGTTGACCTTGATATCTCTGGAGCAATGGAACAACTGGACAAAGCAAAGTCATACCTACAGTCTTACTGGTCAGATGAGGGATTTCAAAATGTTCTGAAGAGTGCACAGAAGTTGGCAGAGGAACTTCACACTGAAGCTATTTTCCCACCCATTCAAGAATCACCAAAGAAGATGACATTTTGATTACGAGGCACGGGATAATCCCATAAGAGACCCCAAACAACAATTCAAAGTTGAATTCTTTAACCAGGTGCTAGATTGTGCAATACAGTCAGTTGAAGAACATTTCATACAGCTCAAGGAACACAGTAGTATATTTGGGATGTTGTATGATATTCCAAAACTCCTCACTATACCTGAAGAAGACCTACATCAGCAATGCAGTGCACTAGAGACAGTGTTGACACATGATGACATGTGCAATATTGATGCAAGTGATTTAGGTGATGAATTGAAAGCCCTTTCAAGATACATTTCAGCAGGATCAACTCCAAAGGCTGTTCTGGAATATATGTGCACAAGTAAGATGACCACCCTCTTTCCAAATCCTTTTGTTGCTCTGCACATACTTCTACTACTTCCTGTAACAGTTGCCAGTGGAGAACTCAGCTTCTCCAAACTGAAGTTAATAAAAACACATCTACGCTCCACAATGACCCAGGAGAGAGAGGCTGGTCGGCCTTGCAGCCATCTCAATAGAGCATGAGCTGGCCCAGACTGTAGGCCTTCAGGAAGCAGTTCAAATCTTTGCAACCAAGAAGACACGGAAAGCACCACTTTGATTATTCAAACAGATAAAAATGCCAGTGTTTACTATGCAGACAAGAAAAGTTACATTTGCTGTTCAGGTGTTTGAAAGTTAAGTGTTACTTAAAATTTTTGAACAAGGCATTTTAAGTAGTTAGTTTTCCTTTATTGGGGTAGGTAGCAGAGCAGTACCATGAGAGGAGTAGAACAGGAAGAAGGCAGAATTGAGACCTTTTAAAGTTTTGTCCCAAGCGAGGAGGCATGGGGGCGTCATTTGAGCTCCCTGCCTCAGGTGCCAAAATGTTGTGGGCCGGCCCTGCCTACAAGTGGATTCTGCGGAGTTGCCTTTTTTTAGTGATATCTGATTAAAATAAACGTCTCTTTAAACTGCAAATGTAGCTAGACGGGGTGGAATTGGTTAAAATGAGTGAAACATACTTCATCTGATAACGAGAGGCTGTTTGTTCCAGTCATGTCTTATAGGAGGTCAAAAACCACAAAGTGCTCTTGAATAGAAGTCCTTGTGATAATAACCTAGATGCAATTCAGAGGCCCCTTGCATACATCCTTCCCCCACCAATCCTGCATCTTTGGGTGCAGAAGGAAATATCGGTATTCCAAATTAATAGCCAATTTGATTCCATTTTTGTTCTCATCAGATTAGGTCAGGAGAGCCCCTGCTGCATGGCCTTCACTTGTGTATTTCAGCATCCGTGTGGTACTCTTGTCAACATTTGGCTATTGTTCTCATCTGTGTTATTTGTCACCATGACAGCCACAAGGGTGAGCCAGGAAGAGGCTACAAAGACCACAGGAAAGGAAGAGCTATAGACAGTGGGTGCACGTAGGTGTATATAATATTGAAGGAAATGCTACTCTTTTCAATACACTCCCTAACCATCTAATGAGCCCTTCAGAATTCTTCAGTATCCTCCCTCATTCATGACATCTTGGGTCAGAACCTCAGCTAGTGTATGCATAGTGTTGGCATAACTCCACTATACTGATTCCCACACTGGGATCTGGCTCCTTTTGGTTTTATGGGTAGTCAATCACAATTATAGGAACAAATTTACTGGTGCAGTTCCAAGCCTTTACAGACGCTGACTCAGATTCTGCTCTCATTTACACCCAGGTACATCTGGAGTAAATCCAGTGGCTGCCAGGGGTTTACCTGGGAGTAACTGAGATGAGAATTTAGGCTACCCCCGTAGAGGATGGTGCCTGTGGTTATGGTTAGTTTTATTTTAAATTGTATATCTTGTCAAATCTTTCCCTCGATTTTAATAAGCTTCAGATCATGCCCTTAGTGCCCATAAAAAGGGGATGACTTGACAGATCTAGAGCCAAATTTCTTATTTGTCCACAGACTAAATACGGAACAAAGCAATGGCTGTACCAGCTTCCCTCTCTATGTAACTGCTGTAGAGGTGGGGGGAGGGGGTGGTATCTGTGAAAAGACAGTTTAATCTCCAAATCTGTTCACTACTTGGGTGCTCTGCTACAATTGCCAGCAAGGTGACCAGTCAGTACCAGCTGCAATGGGGTCTGTGACGTGGACTCTTATCCACTAGACACGGACAGAGCCCAAACCCATTTCCATAGGTTGCAGAAGGATAACAACCTGTTGACTGGTCCAGAAGTTAGATCAGTGACTAATTTGAAGGTCTCTGCAGTCATACTGGCAACCCCTTATGGAGAATAGCTGTACATGTTGCCTGAATCTTTAAGCCTGCTTTTTCCTGTTATTGAAAAGCTATCCATCAATGACATATTTGAGGAGGAGAATTCCCCTGTTCCGGAAATGCAGAGCTATTAGACTCATAGAATCATAGAATATTAGGGTTGGAAGAGACCTCAGGAGGTCATCTAGTCCAATTCCCTGCTCAAAGCAGGACCAACACCAACTAAATCATCCCAGCCAGGGCTTTGTCAAGCCAGGCCTTAAAAACCTCTAAGGTTGGAGATTCCACCACCTCCCTCGGTAACCCGTTCCAGTGCTTCCCACCCTCCTAGTGAAATAGTGTTTCCTAAAATCCAACCTAGACCTCCTCCACTGCAACTTGAGACCATTGTTTCTTGTTCTGTCATCTGCCACCACTGAGAACAGCCAGCTCCATCCTCTTTGGAACCCCCCTTCAGGTAGTTGAAGGCTGCTATCAAATCCCCCCTCGTTCTTCTCTTTTGCAGACTAAATAACCCTAGTTCCCTCAGCCTCTCCTCATAAGCCATGTGCCCCAGCCCCCTAATCATTTTCGTTGCCCTCCACTGGACTCTCTCCAAATTTGTCCACATCCCTTCTATAGTGGGGGGACCAAAACTGGATGCAATACTCCAGATGTGGCCTTACCAGTGCCAAATAGAGGGAAATAATCACTTCCCTCGATCTGCTGGCAATGCTCCTACTAATACAGCCCAATATGCCGTTGGCCTTCTTGGCAACAAGAGCACACTGCTGACTCATATCCAGCTTCTCATCCACTGTAATCCCCAGGTCCTTTTGTGCAGAACTGCTGCTTAGCCAGTCAGTCCCCACTTAAAGGTGAACTCCGAAGCCATGCTGAATTCATCGTATGGCATGTCTACACAGCATAGTGTACCCAGGTTACTGACATGTTACAACCCAGCCCCTGCCATCAACACACACACAGATGTATGCTCCACCAGCCAGGCCATGGGGGCACTGGGCCCTGCACTCATCCCTCCCAGAACAATGGACATCTCTAGCAACAGGTGCCACAGAACAGCCGTGCCCACCGTGGCCTTTGTCCTTGTTCCTTCGTCGTCCATCTGCAGTCTGAGGCTGACACTACAGGCTTGTCATTGTGCCATCTCCCTGCCTTCCACCCCAGCCTTCTACCTGGCTCCTCTATTTAGCAGGATGCAGTGTAGGACTGCCAGATAAACAGGAAGGCTGGAGGGGCCTAGTCCCAGGTGAGAAAGAACTAAACCATCTGACTTTACACAGGGGTCCCAGGGATCCAGTGCCTTCCCAGCTAAGGGACATTCATCACAGAAATCTACCTTTATAAACAGGTTTTCCCTGCCCTGGGGAATTCTCTACTACCTCTTAGTTTGCTGAAGATATCCCAGACTGCAACATGTTCTCACATCAAATACTAGATTCAGATTATTTGTTTCGAATACCAACCTTTCATCTCTGTGATGTCAAAGGGATGTGTTCTGGGACAGCACCAGCAAACCAGGAAGAGGCTGAGAATTTTTGCAGGCAGGGGGAAAAGAGTTGTTACAAAGGCAGGTGAAAGTGTATTTGTGCTGCGCGCCTCCCCCATGCCTCCAACAGACGGCCTGCAAGTGTAGACTCAACCCCTCGCTCAGTTTGCCGCTGTCATTGTGAAGGCACAGCCAGGCCACATGGCATCTGTTCAGCCATCATTATATGCAGTAGCAATGCTGGCGGTACAAATAGTTACAATACCCGTGCTGTGTCCACCTTGCTGATTCCAGTTAAAAATTCCTGCCGAAAGAGGGGTGGAGTCTGACAGAGTTTGGCTCCTTACTGGCAAACCCTAGGCCGACTGGCCTAGGCCACTCCAAGGACTGAGGACTAGATTGTGCCCTAGCAGCAAGGTGGGATATGGAGAAGTTCACTGTCCCAGCATGAGCTCCCAAGCAGCCCCATGCTGCAGACTTGGGCTTACAATTACTCCAGGATTTCTAGTATGGCAGAGGTCACAGAAGTACCTATTCCCCACCTTCACAGGATCCACTATCCAGTCCCCCTGGCATGGAAACGCCTTTGCTGGCAGTATGGAGGCGTTGAGGGTAATAGATTACCAGCTCCTCCCTTCACTGTGACATCATCAGGACCCATCACACGTTCCCAAGTACAAGAGCTGGGCTTGCATCTGAGCACTGGTCAGTAGCAGAGAAGGTTCCCGTTCTGTCTCTGCTCTCTGCACACCCCACTGAGCCAGACACACTCTGGCCCCCATGTCCTACAGACTGTTTACGGCATCCATCCATGTTGACGGGGGAACCATGCTGCTCATCTACAAGTGTAATCAAACAGATCGTCAGTAACCTCCAACTGCGGGAAACTCAGGCAAGTTCGATTGTATCTTCAGTGTGACTTGGAGCTGAAGTGAATGGAAAATCTGTCTAAAAAGGAAAGCACTAGAACCAAGGTGAGACTTGCACACATCTGCCCTTTGGAGTGGAACTAGAACTCCACTTCAAAAGGACACAGAAGACATGAAAAAGCTGCCTGGAATTTGTTTGTTTTCTTTTTTTAAGTAGCAGACTTGTAGCCAGCTGTGGAGCTGTAGGTATGTAAATACTGGCTAGCCAAGGGGAAAATGAACTAATGAGAAAGGGTTGCTTTTGAGAGTTCTCCCGCTGCATACCATCTTCCCTGCTGCTGGAGAGAACTCGGGAGGCCACGTGACAATGGGGGTCTGGTCAGTGTCAGAGCTCACTCTGCAGTGTTTCCTTTGCCTATTTAAATAAACCTCCCCACTTTAGCATCAAAGCAGGACTCCCAATTCAGATCTAAAAGCAAGGTTATCATGAGCCACATTTCAACAGCTGGGGGAATATGTACGGACACACCACAGTCCTCTCTGGTGATGTCTATTGCAGATAGAGCGAGATCAGTAAATAAATACACAGGGGATTCTGGTTGGAGGCTCAGTTTCATATGGCCTAAAACAGGAGACAGCAGAGAGAGAACCACTTCTTACTGCATTCCCACTAGAAGGTGTGAACATTTACCTCACTGGCAGTTTGGGGGGCAACCTGAAGTCATGCAGACCCTACAGGACTAAGGGAATGGGACATGTAGGCCCAAAGATTCCTGATCAAAACCCCACAGGAAACAAAGTGCCACAGAACAAGAATCATAGAATATCAGGGTTGGAAGGGACCTCAGAAGGTCATCTAGTCTAACCCCCTACTCAAAACAGGACCAATCACCAGACAGATTTTTGCCCCAGATCCCTAAATGGCCCCCTTGAGGATTGAACTCACAACCTTGGGTTTAGCAGGCCAATGCTCAAACCACTGAGCTATCCCTCCCCATAATGCCCCTTTAGAGAGTAAAAGTTCTGTGTTCTAGGGGCCAGCAGCCCTACCTACCCCACCAGTAGCGACCATCAAGTGTTTCAGTTAGGAGGAAAAAAACACGATTTTTTTTTCATTTTTCCTTTCAGTTTCCCATGGAAAAAACCTTCCTTTTGGGATTTATTTTGCTGAAAAATGTTGAAGGTAAACTAAAGCTAACCCAGGCCCTGATGCAAAGCTCCCAGAAATTAAGGGAAAGTCTCCTACTGACTCCAAACGGGCTTTGTGTCAAGCCCCAAATTCAGAGCTGAAGCTGTTGCAGAGCTGGATTGGGGCCACTGTAGCACCAGAGTATGTTTGTGGGGGAGCATCAGCCCTAGGCCATAGTTTATACTGCTGTATCTGTGTATGATTCTAGTCAAATGAACAGCATGCCATCGCTGGTAAATAGTATCAATGGCCAATGATGGTCTGGCTGGAGAATCTTGCCTACATGCTCGGGGTTCTACTGATCGCCATATTTGGGGTCAGGAAGGAATTTTCCTCCAGGGTAGATTGGCAGAGGCCCTGGAGGTTTTTCGCCTTCCTCCGCAGCATGGGGTAGGAGTCGCTAGCTGGAGGATTCTG